GACAGAAGGAGATTCCGAAAGAAAATGTTCATCTGTTTTTGAGGATGTCATAGGGAGAACAATGCATGAAAGTTTCATTGGAGAAGGAAACAGGTCAGTCATTTCAGAGGAGAGGGATATCCGTAGAGCTGAAAGAATTCAACTACCAGTCGCTGCTCCAGAATGTGAGGGAATCTGATAAGCCTAGAGTTATATTATCTTAAGTTCTTCTGAAACATGGTTTCATTGGGAGGATTTTGATATTTTCTGCTGTTGACTCTTGCAATTTCTAAAAAGGATGTAATTTCTGTTGCAGCTACTGCCTTTTTCAATGATGATAGTTCATGGTATGAACAAATTTTTTTAGAGGACAGTGATGAAAGTGAGCGAGGTCAGTTCAATGGTCCCTCGTTGTCAGGATATGATATCCTTCAGCAAGTGGGTTTGTTGTTCTATGCTCTTTTTGTTCTTTGATGCACAGGATATGTACTCAAGAATTTGTTTGCCACACCTGCAAATAGTAAAAATGCTAATGAAGAAGAGACAATATCTCCAGACAAGACTAATATCAAGGTAGGGGATGGTAGATCCAGTCGAAGGGAGGCTCAAGATGTGATGGGTGCAAAGGAAAGTGAACATGGAAGTAATTTACTTAAAAGAAACACAATGCTAACTACTGATGAAAATATAACCAACGAGCACTCCAATCAAGGTGAGTGAGGTTAGTCCAATTTACCTTTTTCTCAGGATATGATTTCCTTTTAATTGCTCCATTTTTAAGTGCAGAAGATCAACTTCTTGAGATTCACCTTGCCATGCCAGATAATAGTGCAAATTCTTATGAAGGACTTTCTTGTCATGATGAAACATTGAATGTAGTGGTATCTGTGGACAACGTTCTTAGCAAGATGGGGGATGTTAGATCTACTGAAAGGGAGGCTGAAAAAATGGCGGGAGCAAAGAAAACTGAACATGATACACCCATACAAAGAGAGCAAGCTTTGCCAATCACTAGGGCAAAGGGTACTGGTGGGGGCTTTAGTGAAAGCTTGCAAGGTTAGTTCAGTACTCCTCTTTCTATGGATTTGGTAATGTTCAGAAGGTATGTTGATTGTTCATTTTTACTTCTAATGTGCAGAGGATGAACTCAAAATTCTGTTTTCCACACCAGTCACTGGTACAAACCCCTGCAAAAGAAAGAAAACTTTTGGCCATGGCATTAAAATGGCAGATGCACCCTTGTCCATCGATAAAACTGTCGGCATGGTTGGTGCAAGGTTCAGTCTAGGGACATCTCAAGAATTTCTGCCAGAAAAGAATGGTGAATGTGAAAACCCAATAAATCAAGAAAATATGATGCCAATGACTAGTGAAGAAACTTCTGAAGGTAGTTCCACAGAAAGCTGGCAAGGTTAGATCAATTGTTCTCTTTCCCAGTTTATGGTACCTTTCAGCATACATGGCTTATTGTTCTGTTTTTCTTAATGTGCAGAAGATCAACTCAAACTTTTGTTTGCCACCCCAGCCAAGAATAGAAATTCTTACCAAGAAATGCAATCTTTTGGTATTGAAAGAGAAGTTACAGAAAAAGTAATGCCTGTGGAAAAGACGAGGGATGGAGGGAATAGTCAAGGGGATTCTGAAGACGGGATAGGGATAAAGAAAAATGAACTTGAGGACACTGTAAACATAAGAAACATGTTGCGATTCAATGGTGAGGAGACAAATGATGAGGATTCCAATGAAAGTAAGGACATTGCCCAGGAGAATGCCAGCACTTCTGCAGCTTTAGCTGAGGTTATACATCAAAATTATGAATCTTCTGAGCAAATGACTGCTGGCCTCTTGGGGTCTGAGAAGGTGGTAGTAGATTATCAGTATGTATCTACAAAGATGAAAGATCATCAGTGTGAATCTACAAAAATGAATAACTCTCCGAATCTTTCAGTGGAAGCCTTATTAGAAGAAGACAGAAGTTGCCATGAGACAATTGGTAAAGCTAAAAAACAGAAGCTTAATTTTGCCAGTTTAGAAGCCGACAAGATCAGTGATACCCCCGAGTTTAGATTTTCTGCTCTTGCCAGTGTCAAGTTTGATGGGGATAGAGGTACGTACTGATGTTCGGGTTTTGAAGTTTGAACTCTGTTATCAGCTTAATGAATTTTATTCTTGCATGCATAAACATGTAATTTCACAATGGTTGATAATTTTGTAGGTAATTCGCCCACTGATTTGTCTACATTCTTCCATGAAGCTGAAGAAGTTAAGATGGGGAAAGATATGGAAGCCACAAAAGGTAGTGATGGTCTTAGGGATACCAGGAACAGATCTGACATAGAAGACAACACAAGAACTCAACAAGTTGTCACAGAGAAACGGTTTGATGATGAAGACACGGAGGAACTTATCTTGGTTGGTGAAATTGTTTGTCAGGGATCAAACAAGCACTTATGTGAGGATGAAACTCTGAGCACAGCTGAGGAGACCAATGAGGTGCATGGTTCCTCACAAAACATTAATGACACAGTCCACTGTGCTCATGAGTCCAAGGATTCTGCTGAACGACATAATTTTGGTGATGCTTTTGTATTGAAACCGGCACTAGATGTTTCTAACGTTGCATCATCAGGTAATTGTGTATGTTCATATGATCATAAGTTGCAACTTGTTTGGATGTAAGGTTTTTTTTTTCTGAGCTGGAATATTAGATTCATCCTTACCCCTTATCATTTACGTTTGTATGAATTACAGAACATGGAGCCACAGAGTTGAATGGTGAGCCCCACAAGTTAAGCATGTGGGAGATTGAGATGCTTCCAGGAGATAATAAAGGAGAAAAAGATAAGCTGAATACAGGGGCCTCAGAAACCGATTTTACATCTGATCACAATGAGGCTGCTGAAGATTTGAAAGAAAATAGGACTTCGCTTGCTGAAGAGCAATTGGGCATGCATGAGTTCAACCTGGAAGAACAGGTTGCAAAGCCAAATGACAATCAAATTGACACTGTAGGTGCGCCCATCTTTGAACATGATGAAATCTTGAAGGAACAGGATGTGGATATTGCCATCAAAGAATACCTTGATTCTGAGTATAATGAGAATGTATCTTTGGACATCGACAATTCTACTGTCACCATGCAAAATGAAGTGTTGACAAAGGTTGTGAAGAGGAGTCACAGTGAACATACTTCTTTGGTTGAGCCTGAAGCAGATGGTGACATTATGTGTACAGAGATAATCAATATTGCTAATGTTGGCGTGGTTGGTGATAAGCCATCAGTTATAGAAGGGAAATATGAAGAAAACAAAGAATCGAAAGAGTTGAGAGAACCTACTTCAAAATCAAATTCAAGAATGGCAGATCAAGCTCCCATGATCAGGGATTCTGTTACCGATAGAGGTACACAAAGTTTCATTACAAGAAATACTTCCAGGTTCTAATTATGTAATTACTATATTTAGGATAGATCAGATTACTTCTGATTGACCTATTTTTGGACTTGTTACATGGGATTTTTCATATTGTTTCTTAGGCTTTGCTGCTGAAGATGCTTGGACATCGCAACGAAAGGATGACCCAGTTCGAAGTAGAACTTCAGATGCAAATGTTGAGGAAGGCAACATCCTGCCTGCAAAGCAGTTGACCTGTATAACACAGAAAAGGAAGAATGCTAGAATCAGTTTCGCCCTCGAAACACCAAGTAAGCTACTCATGACTGCTGATATGAAGGAGAATGCACCAAGCATCAAGAAAGATCATATTGGTAGTCTAGCTATGGTGAAATCAGCAACAAAAAGGCGTGCCTTAGAGGAACTCTAGAAGAAATAGAATGGATCCTGCTGTTAAAGTTTTCTTATCAGGCGACGAGTGAAGCTATTCATGAGAAAGAGTACCATCAGAGTCCCTGTAGATAAAATGTAAGCATATCTCATGCAACATTTCATAATTTAAGATCGTAACGAGTGTTATGTTGTAAAATTTATATTTTTATGAACAATTATAATTTGTGAAGACCAAGCGTTAATGGTAAGAAACGCATTAAAGTATGTGTCAGGTTATTCAATGACAGGTTGTAATTTTATGTTTGACAATCCACTTTGCAGGCAGTACATGGGTCATGGAGGAGGTTGGTTTTTCACATTTCTGCCTGAGTCACACTGATTGATTCTTTGTTTTTCTGCTTTACTTTACCTTCTTTTGCCCTGTGTGTTCATCTGTGTGGAAAGGTGGCTTTCTCCACACTAGTGCTCTGTTTGTTGCAGTACTGGGAATTGGAGTCAAGGGCTTGTTTTGGAGTACACAAATTGGAAGGAATGTCTTCTTAGGGTGGATGGTCATTAAAGAAATTGACCATGATTCCTTCTTGGTATTAGTATTCAGCCATTGTGACGAAGAACAAGTTAGAATACTGGATAATATCTGTTTCACTGGAAGTGGTTCCCTTGAGAAAATTACTTCTCAATCGAGAACTAAAATATGACACGAGGTGTTAAGAATTAGGATGTTAAAATATGACACGAGACACAATATAATATAAAATTAGAGAATTTAGTTCTTTTTTAAACCACTCATTTAATAAACAAATGAACACGACATAATACGATTAATAAAAAAATGGGTGTGGGTGAAGACGATTAAAAAAAAAATACACGATATAATTTGTTTATATACCAGTTATATACGGTTTATACATGATTTATTAGAAACGAATCAAGTATGAAAAAAAATATTTTTTGACGCAAACCTACTAAAATTCGACACGAATTCACCTCACTTAGCACGATTGACAGGACCAGTAAGAGCTAGTCGACATCTAGGTATAAGAATCGCTGGTTTCTGGTCAATTACTTGCATGAATAGTGCAGCAGTGACCCAAAAATTTAGGGGAGTTTTTCATTCATTGTCTGCTGAAGCAGCCATAGAACAGCATAAGAAGCTCTAAGGTTGAGCTGCGAAACAGGGGTTGCCATGTACCACAGTGATAAGTATCTTAACTATCATAAGCAGACGAAACGAATCAGGGACTTTAACTCTGAAAAACTTGGACGTTACAGTAGTCATTTTTCGTCCTAAAAATAGGTGCATTTTTATCAAAATCGTATAACTTAGACATGGTAAATAAAACTTCACTTCTGAATAAAGGACCAATGAAAGATTTGCCCAAAACTTAACAAGAAAAACTTCAAGAACATCCCTGCATCGAGTACCTTATTGGAAAGGGCCTATAAATTATGGGAAAACTTTATGTTTCTTCAGATTACAGACAGGTTCTCAGACTTCCACCCCTAGCAGATAACAAACCACAAATATATCAAAAGAATCAATGAAAATTTTTCGAAACAAATATCATTTGTGTCGGGTCCCAGCCTTTTTTTTTTTATATCTACACAGCCCACCACAGATTTTCTTCGACCATTTTTATACTGCTGATGATTCTCATCAGAGATCCAACTGTGTCACGGAATGCCTTCATCTTCAACCCGAGACGCACCTTTTTTGTAATTCCCACTCTTCATTTCTACAATACCTCAAACCATCTAAACTTTTATCTTGTGCACCTTAGTTACAATCCAGCCCACAAACTTCTAGTACAATACCATCCCTTGACAGGAATGGGTTGATTCGCACCCATAAAAGGGAGAAGATTGAAGCCAGAAGAATAGACCAAACCACAATAATGGTGGGAACCCCGTCCTGCTTCCCCATCAAACCTTTGAGGAAGGGGTACAGATGGACAATGACCCACAAGGCAAAGAACAGCTTGCCAAACAGAGGGCCCCATGACTCATAACCATTATTGATTGCATCTGAAACCCCAACTATGACCCCAATTATGTTTATTATCAACAAAGTCATGGGAGGGATCAACAAAGATGTCCACTTAAAGAGGTACAGTTCGGAAAACTCCCCATCGTCTCCTCCTTTGGATGTAACGGTGAAGTTTGTGCTGACTCCTGCCAAAACCTTAAGAAGACCCTGAAAGAGAGCGAACAGGTGTGAGGAGACACCACCAATCACCCAGAATTGCTCGTTTCTCCACCAATCATCTATGCCAACACCTCCCCACTGCATCTCCAGGACACTAGTTGCTGCAATTGATATGAAGAGGGCCATAAACACAATGCTGGCATAGTTGCTAATCTGCAGATAATAGAAGATACTAGTTAGTAGTAGCCCTGCAAACTGATGTGAAATCCAGAATTGAGATGAAAATGTTGCAGATTGATAAAAAAATCAGCTTTGAGTAGTTTTCTTACATTTTGGACTCCCCAAATATTCAATGTCAACAGGTGCCTAAAAATGTGTATTCTAGCATGGCACTCAGAAAATGTTTTCAATTTTATGCACTGACAAACTGTCCCATATGCACGATAGCATTAGGATGCAGGATTTAAAAATTAAATTCAGGACCCATTGCAGTGCTGGTCATACATAAAAAGTAACAAAATTTTTAGGGAAAATTAGGCAATTTTGGCGAGAGGTTTTCACTATTAAAATTGCATGCTTTGGAATTCATCTGTTACTTTTCAAGTTTAATCCTCCCAAAAAAAAAGGTTCCATCACTGTTAAGTGGTTACATCTGAAAAAAAAATACTTCATAATTATGATGCAAGTAGTAGATTACTAAGTATTTCAATCATAAAATTGCAAAACCACATGCAATTCTTGACCTTACCTCAGGGACAATGAACTTTCCGGTAAGGAGACAGACAGCGGGCAAAGTACAATAAGCGACCAAGGGAACGGATGTCAATGGATAGACGACCGAATTTATATACGAAAATCTTTCCAGCGGTTTCAATCCACACCCATACCCATACCAGATTGGACAGTGTCTGCTCAAGAAAATTTCAACAGATCCCAAGGCCCACCGGAGAACCTGGTGCAGACGATCTGAAAGGTTGATGGGGGCTGACCCCTTAAATGCAGGTCTTCGGGGTATGCAGTATACTGATCGCCAGCCATGGCAATGCATCTTGAAGCCAGTTAATATATCCTCAGTAACAGAACCATATATCCATCCAACCTGACAAATTATAGAAATTAGAGCACAGACACATATTATATCTTGTTTAAAAGAACTCTTGAAATCCTGGAACATTTTGAAGTTAGTCATCACACACCTCTTTCCCCCATTCTGTTTTATCTTCGTAACCACAACTAATTACATGAATGGCTTCTTTCAAGAGTGATGCAGAAGTTGCTCCTGGAGGAACTCCGCCTTCTTCTAACAATGTTGAAGCAACAAAAACTGGTGATTGTCCAAATTTTTTCTCAAATTTTATCTGAGGCATGAGAGAAGTCTTTTCACTATCTATTCCTGCAGCAAAGATTCATGTTAGCTAGAACAAAATGGAATGGATTAATGGAAGTCCCTTTATATAAACAAGACAGCAAAAAAATCCCACACAAATGACAAAATGCCATCTAAACCCATTCCTAACCTTCAATTCCTTCCTCAATATTTTCAAGTGCATGTATTTGAGTTGAAGCCTCCCTGCTCTTTGTTGTCTTCTTTTTGCCCTTTGATTTTCCTTTCTTGTTCTTCTTTCTAGATCCACAACTGCAGCAACACCATTTTGGCAAACAATTACATGTTTTGCCTGGGGGTTTCTTCTTGATGGGAGCATCATATCCATAAAGTGCTTGCCTTCTGAAGACACATCCAGTTCCAACATAAATAGGTCCTTGGATCCCGTCCAGTCCTTTCATATTAATCTGTTCCCAATTGGAAATTAGCATTTCAGAAGGATAAATTTAGAATAGACATACATCCATGCCCATATGGTAGTAACATGCATCCATATGCACTTTATGTATGTGGATTTAAGAATATATAACATCAACAACATGGAGGAGGAGCTTTACATACATCAAAGAATACAACATTGCGATTGGAGTATCTATCATGACGATCAATCCCATCAAACCTTTGAGGAAACTGCACATAACATATTTTCTTCCCTGAGGTGGGGTCCATCATGAAGCACATAGCTTCCCGGAGTGCCTTACTGTTGTTTATGTAATGATCACAATCAACATTCAGTAGGTAAGGAGCATTTGAGATGACTGCCGACACCCGCACCTAGAAAAGTTGATTAAACCAAAGATAAGATAACAGGCGATAATTCGACCACATATTTGAACTTGGCACGTGGAGCCAATAATATTTGAAGGGGGAGAGATAAAAAGAAAGAAAGTCTTACCAAAGCATTCATGGCTCCAGCTTTTTTGTGGTGCTCAAACCCAGGCCTCTTCTCACGAGAGACATAAATGAGTTGAGGTAACTCGTTCCCTTCAATATCACGGACACCATTGTGACCCAGGAACACCTGTTGATACATAGCAAAATTAAGTTACCAAAATTTCAAAATTTTAAGGTATCTCAGTCAGATAGCATGAAACTAGTCACAAGCTCTCAGAAAGAAAACAAAACCACACCTGGATCATTCCAGGATGATCCCTGACATTGTTTCCGGGCCATGGAGTTCCATCCTGCATTGTCCAGCCCTCCTCAGGAACCTTCTGTGCCATGGCAACCAAACCATTTATTCGAATTTTAAACTCTTCATATTCCCTCTGCACCACAGAAATGACAGCAGCAAGTACAAATCATCATCATAGTTGAAATAGAAAACCCACAAGATCAAGTTAATCTTAGGTTTATTTGACATATTTCATAATTAAATCAACTGCATAGAATTATTATATATTATTGCCATTGAAGGATGAAACATGGCTTCTTGATACGCCACTCCATGATTTTAAATTTGACGTCAATTTATCGTTACTTTACTTATTTACAAGCAGTTCACACGCCATGCAACACACCTTTATTGCACGACGTTCCCTCACAAAGGTCGGATGTACTTTGTCTTTCAGATAGTCAACCTTCTGAGCAAAATACCACTCTGGGGCCCGCGGTTCTATGTTGAACTTCTTGCAGAATGGGACCCATTTCCTTGCAAACTCAGATGTCTCTGAGAGGGCCTCAAAAGTGAGCATGGCAGCACCATCATCTGAGACGTAGCAAGCAACCTTGTCGACTGGATAATCCACAGCAAGGATGGACAGAACCGTGTTTGCAGTGATAAGAGGAGGTTCTTTCATGGGATCCACAGTACTAACATATATGTCTATAGGAGCTAACTCTGAAGGCTTTCCTTCTTTCTCATACCTGATAGAAAATTCTACATAGCATAAGCTTGAGGAGAGAGGGGAAGACGGAGAGGGAGGGGCAGAGACAGAGATGGAAAGAAAGAGAAAGAGTAAGAGGAGTCCTATTTACCTCAGGGATAGCCTATCTAGGTATGTTTCTCTCTCAATTGGGAACCATTTTGGAAACTGATCGAATATCCATGATACGGCAAACCATATCTCACATATAATTGATGTCAGCCACAATCCATATGCATCATTGACAGGGTGGAGAATTCTATAGTGAAAAAATAATCCAAGGATCACAAGGCGGAGTAAAATGATTAATCTGTATGGGTTTATCTTGCTAGAAGAAACGGGTAACTTTCTTGAAAGTGGCTGCCTGCCTTCATCCATCCTATAGAAAATAAAAGAGAGAAAAAGTGATAAATAATCAATTCCTTCAATCAAAGAAAATTTACATTGCATGCTTTATGGAAACAAAATATCTAGTTTATCATGAAGAATTGATCTCTAGACACTGCTCAACATAATTATTAAACACATGTTTGGTGCCCGCTTCAACACTTGAAATGTGCCTAAGTTTATCTTCTCATACTACGGCAAATAATGGAAAGACTTATTGCATATTGTTGTTGTAAACTCCAAGTCAGTCAAGTTTTGATAATTTATCACACATTAATGAAAACTACACATGATATCTAACCATCAAGTAAATATGGTGGTACATAGCATGGGACTACCAATTGCAAATGAGGGCCCTTGAGGGCACCAAATGCATCAAGAATACAATTCTACGTTAAAAAAACAAATAACTACATATCCCGAATGAAAAGGCTTTCTCCTGCAGATAAAGTTGATATGGCAATTGGGATGTTTTCGTCAATTGAAGATTTTGGGTCAGACAACAGCTTATTGATCTCAGTCATAGCCAAAGGAACAGGCCAGTAAAAAATATTATTTTTTCATCAGCAACAGGAAGAAATATTGTTGTTCGTGCTATAACTGAAGGAAAAACTAATAAGTTCATGTGGCCAAATATTAGCCTCCAAAACGCTTTTCTCAATAATTGTCTAAAAACATCTATGCATGAAGTATTTTCATGGCTTCTATTTGTTAATCAGATTAGAAAGCCATAGTAAATTTATGTGTCATAATCAAGTTGACTTGATTGAAGGTTGTTCTATTATGTCATCTATCCTCGCTGTCAAAAGAAACTCACTTCTTGGCTCTTAGCCCGTAAGTCACTACATACCCAATGATTAGGGGAATAAGAAATTAATTTCATGCTATTTCTTTCTGTTCTAGTATGCCCTTTGTCAATCTTCATATTAGCTATTACAATTGAAATTGCTGTGCATAACTACTCCAGTTAATTTAACCATTCAAGACAGCTGCATTCCAACAATTACCTACCTACAGATTAAATAAAGACAGACCAAGTCATATCTGGCACAACCAACTCCCATGCTAATCAGATCATCAAGATATTATATTCTCAAAAGAACACGAGGGACTTAATAACCAAATAATTTAAAGTCCAAACATTATGCCTCATAATTGTAGTTGGTACGTAATATATTTGTGTATGTTATTTATGATATAAAATACACTAACTACAGTTTATAACAACTACAAGTCAAATCACCGACAATACACTAAACATGAGAAGATATAGAAAGAATGCACCTACTTGGGCAAATCAGGATCTTCCAACTCATCTCCATCTTTCCCACCATCATTTTCTCCTTGGTGCTTAACCACTTGAAGTTTATCATTCTGCTTTTTCTTCCAGTCCTCCATTCTTTCTTTCCACGCAACAGTACCATACCCATATACTGCTAGGTCTTTCTTAGGATCCATTGGCCGGGGTGGCACTGCAAGTTTGACATCAATGTGTACACTAAGCCATGTAACTCGGAAAATAGTCAGAAAATTTACATTCAGTAAAAAAAATATAACTTACAAGACATGGAGGAATCAGTAAAAGGCATCGGATGGACTCGCTTTCCACGGCCCAATAGTGGAGGAATAATAAGAGCATGTTTGTCGGCCGAAATTTGATCATCCTTCACCAAATAATAGACACACATTACAATTTTCAACATACAAAATCTCAATTTGAACAAAGAAAGAACAAGATTAAAAGAATGTTAAATCATCTACCTCTTGACCATAGGTAAGAAGAGGGATTTCGGGGTTAAGAGCAGAGGAATCCATCTCTGATGGTGTGGTGATCCCAAAAGCATTAGGTTGACCACTACGGCCAACATTAAGCCGAGCAGAGAGCATAGCCTCTGCAATGTGTTGAGGATCTCTCCTCTCATTGCTTGCATAATCGAACTCATTGTCCAAATCATCAAATTCATCCTCTTCTTCATCACCTTCCACTCTGGGACTCCCTGTTATTTCGGTGAATCACATTAATCATAATCTTACCAAGTTCAGCAGTAATTCAGGAAAGATGCCTTGGCAGTGAAATGGTAGAGATGTGAGACTCAGAATCTCATGCGTTGAACCGGTTCTTTGAAGTAATAAGACTATTCCAATTCCAAAGTTACAAAAAGGTACCTTTAATGCGCTTGTATCTAGTTTTGCATTGAGGGCAAGCTTGATTTCCTTCCCTCCTTTCATACTCATAGCAAGGTCTGCAAATAGGGAATGCACACTCATTGCAGGCAACAAATGGCTCGCCATTCACAGTAATTTCTATCTCATCTCCACAAATCTGACAAATTTGCCCACTCAATTCTTCCACAGAAGTGACCTGCTTACAAAAGAACAGTTATAATATAGATTAGCACCACATCCAAAAATTTCAAGACTTCAGCAAACCCCCAATGGGACTGAAGAACTTTTCCACTATAAGAATTTATAAAAAGAAGTTATTTGCACAAAAATGGGGGATTTTTTTTACTGGCTCTGAAATCAAGAAACTACAAAGACAGCAAAAGTAACCAATGTAAGAAAACCATCCACTGAATCTAGATCCTAGACCTACACATTAAGCCCAAAATTTGAGAGAAAAAAAACAGAAATCTGTTAAAATGAATTTCTCTTATCTGGGTGAAGAAATGGAAACAAGCTTGAATCAGTAAAAAATCTGACAACCCAAACCACCGGATCTGTGCCTCCCAGCCGAAATTTTGAGATTTAGTGCAGATTTATCACTGACTAAAACGCAAAAAAAGAATTAAAATTGCAGAAACCCAAAAAAAAATGGGACGAAAATAATTTTTTATTTCGAGATCAAACCTTCGATACAGAAACTGATAAAAGAAAAAATGGGTACCCAAAATCTACAAATGTAGTCAAAATAACAAATCCTTTCAGTTCAGAGCAAATGCAGAGCGAAAAGATGAGATTTTGAGGGCACTTACTCTTCCAATCTCATCAGCATTAATAAGAACAAACTCATTCCTGTTGTGCGAACCGGCAACAAGTCTTCCTTTGGTATCCATCAGACCCCAACACACACTACAAACTGAAGCCCCTCAAAATCAAGAGAGAGACCCACCCTTCTCTTCCTCTCTCTCCCTCACCAACACGCACACAAATCACTCAAAACCCATTACACAAAAGAAAAGCACATCTTTTTCTCTTCGTTAGACCACTCTCTTTAAACACCCGTCACAACTCACAAGAAACACCAACCCCACATTAAAGAATTACTGAAAACGACATATAAACACACATACATTGCATATAAAATCAAATACTATATCGCAAAATGGTGTATCATATGAGACCCTTTTGGGAGTGTACTCTGATTCCTTTCTTGAGAGAAACCCAGATTGGGATATGAGGGTCTCTCACTGTGGTTGATGTGGATCAGAGAATCAATGCCACGGGGTAGAAGAAGGGATCGACAAGGAATATTTTTAGAGAGAGAGAGAGAGGCGTTGAAAGTTCAACGCGTAATACAGAAGGGACACAGATCTGTTGAGAATGAAGGAAGAAATGTGTGGGGTGGTGTGGGGTTTTTAGTGGGGCCCAAGGATGGTGGTGGTGGTGGAAGAGGGCCCCACTGGGCTACGGCGGTGCTTGGGCCGGAGAAGAATGACAGTTTGGTGAATAAAACGTAGTGTAATTGTTTGTGTTTCGTACGTTTAATGTATGTTTTCTGTTTATTTTTGTGTTTTGACAAGGGTGTGGTGTTTCAGCTTCTAACTCTAGGCTGTCTCCCACAGTTTTAGACTCAGCTGTGGTGGTGTGTGGTTTTGTCCGAGGAGAGAGATAATAGATAGATACAAAAAAGTTTGAGGGAGGAGAGATAGAGACGGGGATGATTTTTGTGTAAATTAAGATGATTTCACCGTGGGTTTGTTAACGTAAACTGTTTTTTTGCGACCATTACAAAGAACATAAACAACTACCGAAATGGCATCATTCAGTGTAAATAACTAGTGAGTTAATGTGATGGACCAAAATACACTTCTGTCCCTACAATATAAGGAAAATATCACTTTCGATTTCATAAATACAATTATCATTTTTTTTTTTGCTGGGAATAAAAATGATGGAGACAAAAGAGAACATCCAAATACCACCTCAATAATTTTCATTAGTGGGATCATGAGACCATTGACTATAACCGTTTCACCACTTGGGAATGGTATAAAGATGATTACTATTCCATATAATATAATTAAACTGTTGGACCAACAGACTTTTGATCTAATTGTATTTTTTACCTTGTAAAAATTTTATCATTTTCAGATCAAAGGTTCAAGTCTCCTTAGCAACGAAAAAAGTGGTTGGTTAGTAGGGCAAATCTTAGTTGCTTAGACGAATTGTATCTAAATCTCTGGTATGTGTTTGAATTTTCACCGAAAAACAAGTTCTGATTTAACGAGTGTATGCGTTGAGGAATTAGTTCATGTATTCGGAGTTTGCTCTCGATTCTACTTAGACTTCTAAGTTTAAGCGGCATAAACGCACCTCTATTTGCCGGAATAGTTCAGAGATTTTCCCCATAGATACACTTCTACCACTAAAATGTAAGCAAAATCATCTTTCAACCTCTATACAACTAATTTTTGCATTTTTGCAATGGAATCCTTTAACCTATAAATATTTAAATAGTATAATCGATGGTGATGGAAATATCTAAAATTGAACAAATAAAATTCAAGTTTAAGTTGAGTCAAATGAAATGTGCAAGTTTCTCGTATTCTTCTTTTAATGGTCCACCTCTATACCTTGCAATGAACTTTGAGCCCACTTTATGCCACCCTACAAGCCCCCCCTTCCCCAGCCCTCTCACCTCCACCACTCTCTATGTCCATAGTCACTTCCACCACGGCAGCCTCTCTTATGACTGAGTTGTTTTCATATATAAGTATGTATGGGACTCAAAATCTTCCATTAAACTTGTTGTGCTAGATCATTTTCATGATGGTTGTGTTGATTATTTCAATTTTCAACATTTGCCTTAATAAAATAGTGTCAAATTCTTAATTGGCTCATGTGGGAGAGGGGGTGAGCCAAGGTGCCCATTTTGATCCGGTTTATCGATTGAACCATTTAGATATAATTTGGAGACCTTAGGAATGACATTACTGACATTAGTACTTGGAGGATTGAAGTAATATTTCGTGCATCTTAGGGGACAAAAAGTATATTTACTCTCACAATGACCAAAAGAAGGCTTTCTCTGTCAATGACCACATGAAACAATTTCTGAAGCTTACTTAAATGAGTAAAGTTATTATTCCGGTTACTCCTTTGACTAAAGCAAAAGCAAAGTAAATACTTTCATGTTACTCATTTTTACTAAAATGCCCTTGCGGACAGTTTTGCAACTTCTCAACAAATGAGAAGAAAAGCATTGACCAGGGCCTATGACTTGACGATACTTCATGCTTTGTTAAAGTTTTATCTTCTTGAGATCAAGAATTTAAGTTTTTTACGTGATAAAAATGTGACTGATTGGTAAAACGAACCTCGATTGCTTGAACGAACTTTATCCAAATCTTTAGTGTGGGTTCGAATCCTTTCATAATACAAGTCCTAATTTAACTGGTATATGGATTGAAGGACAGGTTCATATACCCAAGATTTATCCTCGATCCTACTTGACCTCATGAACCTAAGTAACATAAGCGTGCCCTACTTACCCAGACTGGCCATAAATTTTCCCACTTATACAAAAAAAGGAAGAAAAACATTGACTGTCATTGCCAATCCTTCCATCACATGGATGGTACACAAGGTGCCCACCACCACCACCCATCAATTTGCCACTTCTACTTTGGAGAATTGTATAAGAGGAGAAGAAAGTGAAGCACAGCTACGGAGGAAAAGTGTAGTGACCTAAAGTAAAGTCACCTTGCAAACTCCTATTTCCAATAATTTGATGGGAAAAGTATGGGATGCCACTAGTACTTCTTCCCACACCAAAATTTGTTGGACATAACTTTAGTCTGAATCTCAAAAATTAGGTAGATGAACTGTCATGGTTATTAAGACGACAACGGCTCAAAAGTTATTAAGTTGAGATCTTGAAATTTGAGAAAGATAAGATACGTCGTTGTTGATCTGGTACAAATAATATATGATGATTGAAACTTGAAAGTCTCCCGCTATATCGTCATCATCAAGAGTTGAAAGTAATGTGGTTCGAACATTTTTTTTGGTGATTAAAAAATAATAAATTAGGAGAAATGTAAGAAAAAAGGAGGTTGAAATTAGAGCACAATGGTACAGTTCGACATTTAATTGCTTCAAAAGTTTTGCACAATCATGTCTAAATAGGTTGCAAGTCCCACTCTCCTTTTTTTAGTTAAACTTGGATACTTTTAGAATGAATAAAACGACAGAAAAATGACTAATAATTCTTATTTTTTTTTCTACAAATAACAATTAACTCTTAACATATCTCTATTAAGACAATTAAGTCCTATGTTTGATAAAATATTTTCACGGAATCCTAAACTCTATCAATGTTATATTTTGTTTAATTTTTTTCTCATGAAAACCTTAATTATATTTTCCATAGATTTTTTATATTAAATATTTATTTAATTAAGAATAAATTCGGTTGCATCTTCAAAGAACTCAAATATTGCATAATTTATAGAGCAAATTTAGCAAAATTTTCATAATGATGACATAATTGATTTTTTTCAAAAAAAAAAAAAAAAAAAAAATATGATTATCGATGTTTTAATGAGAAGGGTAAAATGGAATCAAAAAATAGTATTAACAGAATTTAGAACATTACGGGAACAAAGTATCAAAATTAGGACTTACCGTACTACTACAACTACAATTGGACCTAATGGTTTGGACCTAATGGTTCTTTGTGTAGAAAAGTGGTAGTTATTTGTAATTTTTCCTATTTGTTGTTCTCGCAATGCAATGGTGGAAGACTTGTGCACTATGGGGCGTCTTTTTTTTTTNCTTTGTGTAGAAAAGTAGTAGTTATTTGTAATTTTTCCTATTTGTTGTTCTCGCAATGCAATGGTGGAAGACTTGTGCACTATGGGGCGTCTTTTTTTTTTTTCAACAATATTAATTATTTTGTTGCATTACATTTGAGAGCCGGACTATTATTCACAAAATATTATTATGCTTAGTAAATGGGGTTAACCTAAATTTTAAGACAATCATTCTCTGGATGCTTTTATATTAGTTACTTAATATAACACAAAAATTCCAATTTGTCTCCTTTTATAGAGCTTGAAAACTTGACGACGAAGATAAATACCAATTACCATTAGGCCAAGAATTAGGGCTGTCAAAATTTGACACGATACGATTAATCGACACGAATTAATCGAGTTTAGGTGACATCTTAACTTGTTTGGGTGATAAACGGATTGACACGTCAAACACGTTTAATAAACGGATCGTGTTCGGGTGAAATCTGTCAAACCGTTTATCACACACGTTTATTCGTTTAAATAAAATTAATATAATAATAAATTAATAATTATTTAAAAAAATTAGCAAGAAAAAAAGAAGTAAAGAAATCAATAAAAAAAAGAAGTAAAGTAGTAGTTCAAAAGCAAAAGAGAGGAGATGAGGAACACTTCAAAGACAAAGACAAATCTTATTTGTCCAACAGTGAAAAATGAGGGGAGATGAGGAGAGTTGAGTTGCCTATAAAAAATAATGGCCTCTTACTTTTGTTTTTTAAGCCTTTAAATCTTATTTGTCTCACATTGAAAAATGAGGGGAGATGAGGAGGGTTGAGTTGCTTATAAAAAACAATGACCTCTTACTTTTTTTTTTTAAGTCTTCAAGTCTTATTTGTCCCACATTAAAAAATGAGGGGAGATGGGGAGGGTTGAGTTGCCTATAAAAAGTAATGACTTCTTTTTTTTTTTTAGGCCTTCAAATCTTATTTTTATGAGATTTGACTAAAAAATCTTCTTTTTTGAGGTAAGTGCAATTGACAATAAAAAAAATGGGGTATTAAAATTTGTTAATATAATTTTTTTTAAATTAAACGGGTTAAACGAGTTCTGTCGTGTTACACGTTTATTAAACGGGTTGTGTTCGTATTGAGATTTTTTACCTGTTTATTAAACGTGCCGTGTACGGGTTTATATATTTTTCACCCGTTACCCATTTAATCCGACACGTTTGACACTCCTACCAAGAATAATGCTAATCAGACTTAATCTATTATCCGAATTTGTTGACTTAATTTACTATAATTATTAAATTAACTATGAATTTCATCAAACATTTAGACTTGATACTAATCAAATGGCTACAATAAATTAGATAAATAAATTTTATTAACAAATTTAATTCAAGTAACATTATTCTTAGACACCACAAAAAAAAAAATTAAAAAGAAAGAAAAAAAAAAGAGAGAACAAGAAAGTAAGCCTCTTCTCACTAAAAGAATGCAAAAGCTGCTGCAGCTTCAGCTCCATGTAGGGCATATGACGAGTCTTGTGGATATTGTTATCATTCAA